CGTGTCTGACTCTTTGCGACCCCATGAACTGCAGCATGCCAGGCCTCCCTGTCCATCACCAACTCCCAGAGTTTACCCAAACTCATGTCCATTGAGTCAGTGATGCCATCCAACCATCTCATCCTCCGTTGTCCCCTTCTCCTCCTGCCCTCAATCTTTCCCAGCATCAGGGTCTTTACAAATGAGTCAGTTCTTTGCATGAGGTGGCCAAAGTATTGGAGTTTCAGCTTCAGCATCAGTCCTTCCAATGAACACCCAGGACTGATCTCCTTTAGGATGGACTGGTTGGATCTCCTTGCAGTCCACGGGACTCTCAAGACTCGTGGGGTTATAAAAGATGGACATGACTTAGCAACTATAATAACAACAAAAACAGTTATATATTTGTGTGCGTGCGTGCTCAGTTGTGCCTGACTCTTTGTGACCCCATGGACTGTAGCCCACCAGGCTCCTCTGTCCATGGGATTCTCCAGGCAAGCATACTAGAGTGTGTTGCCATTCCCTTTCCCAGGGGATCTTCCCAACACAGGGATCTTCCTGCATTGCAGGAAGATTCTTTATCATCTGAGCCACCAGAGGAGATAGATAGATAGATAGATCTATATATATATGTATGTCTGAATCACATTGCTGTACATCTGAAACGAACACAACTTTGTAAATGGTTGCTGTTCAGTCGCTCAGTCGTGTCTGACTCTTTGCGACCCCATGGGCTGAAGCACACCACGCTTCCTTGTCCTTCACCACCTCCTGGAGCTTGCTCAAACTCATGTCCACTGAGTCGGTGATGCCATCCAACCATCTCATCCTCTGATGTCCACTTTTCCTCCCGCCTTCCATCTTTCCCAGCATCAGAGTCTTATCCAGCGAATCAGCTCCTCACATCAGGAGGCCAAAGTATCGGAGCTTCAGCCTCAGCATCAGTGCCTCCAATGAATATTCAGGGTTGATTTCCTTTAGGATTGACAGGTTTGATCTTCTTGCAGTCCAAGGGACTCTCAAGAGTCTTCTCTAACACCACAGTTCAAAAACATCAATTTTTCAGCACTCAGCCTTCTTCATGGTCCAGCTCTCATATCCATACATGGCTACTGGAAAACCCACAGCTCTGACTATACAGACCTTTGTTGGCAAAGTAACAGCAATTGCAAATTGACCATACTTCAATTTAAAAATGGTTATTAAGACCATCATTGTGAATGACTCCCTCCAGCCTCTCTGCCTCCTCTTTCCCGTCAGTAGAACCAGGGTACCGCCTTGCTCTCAGGATCGCCTTGAGAATTAAATCAGATCTGCCCAGACATCCAGAAAACACCAAACGCAGCACCTGATGATCAGAAGCCCCAGCATGAATATTGTTTTCCTCCTTTTCCAACTGGAACCAAATATTAAATTTGAGGTATATAAGTACAACTGCAAGTAATGATCTATTTCCATGAGATGATATGAGAGATGCGACTGAAACATTTCCCCAGGAGACACCTTCACCACCTCCATCCCTCCCGTCTACATTATTTGCATATTCCTGATGTTCCGCAAATGAAATTTTAAATCAAGTCATTATCAAAGTTGAAAAATATTTAGGCTAAAATGTACTGGTGACAAATCAATTTTCCAGCAGCATATTTTTTCTTTGATTTTAAGAGTTCCTTTGGGAGCATTCATTTATAAATTATCCAATTTAAAGCACACAAAAAATTCTCTGAAATACCAGCTTCAAAGAATAGCAAATTGTAAAGGGCACCATTTCCTTATACATCCCGAATTGAGAAAAATCTTTTAAAGTTGCCTTCTGGTTTCTCACAAAATCAAGCTCTACCCACTTGTCCTTATTCTCACTCTTCTTTCCTCATTTATTCAGCCAAACTGTTCAAATAAACTTTGACTAGCTATCACAAAACAATTCAGATATACAGAGAAAACAAATATGCAAACAGACAAATTAAAAAAAAAACTCTTTATGCATAGGGGAGTTACATAAATGTGTTTCTCCAGTTTTCCTCTTTTTAACAAGAATACTTTTATATGGGATGTGGTAATCTACATGACATACATATAAGTATGCATACATATGTGTTCCTACATGCCTGCTCTCACTGACAAACACATACACACAAACTCTACTTTCTATATAACAGATGGAGTAAACCTTAAGACCACAGGCTTTCAAATATTGAATTTTCAATTACTTGGGAAAGAATGAAACAGAAACTTATGGATAAAAACTTGGCTCTGAAAACAAATGAAATAACCCAGATAATTTTGAGGTTATGACCTAGGGGATAATTTGAGGTATGGGCCTATTTTAGTTTACTTAACAGAATAACCTGTTTTCAATTTTTTTTAATTTTCTAATTTTTACATGCTGGAGTAGAAACTATTTATAGATCAGTGAATTGGTTAATTCTGAGTCCTTCCTTTAGAACAGGCTCTCAAAGGGCCTTCATGAGGCAACATTTTGCTGACCTGCTTCTGATGACTGTATACTCCTATACAGAACTTGGACTCGCAATTCTTTTTTTTTTTAATGTGGACCATTTTTAAAGTCTTTATTTATTGAATTTGTTAACAATGATGCTTCTGTTCTGTATTTTGTTTTTTTGGCACCAAGGTGTGTGGGATCTTAGCTTCCTGACTGGAGTTTGAACTCACAGCCCTTGCGGTGGAGGCACAGAGTCCTTCTTTTTTTTTTTTTTTTTTAATTTATTTATTTTTTATTTATTTATTTATTTATTTATTTATTTTATCACAACCATAGTGTATCTTTTTTTTTTTTTTTTTACATGTATTCCCCATCCCGGTCCCCCCTCCCACCTCCCTCTCCACCCAATCCCTCTGGGTCTTCCCAGTGCACCAGGCCCGAGCACTTGTCTCATGCACCCAACCTGGGCTGGTGAACTGTTTCACCCTAGATAATATACGTGTTTCAATGCTGTTCTCTTGAAACATCCCACCCTCGCCTTCTCCCAGAGTCCACAAGTCTGTTCTATACATAGGAGTCTCTTTTTCCACAGAGTCCTTCTTAACCACTGGATCACCAGGGAAGTTCCTGGACTCTGCATTTATAAAGCATTATCTTATGTCATTTTGTCTCTCCTTGACTAAATTTTCTTCATGTCTCAATCTATATGAGATTATGGCATTTCAGAAGCAAAGTTCAGTTCAGTTCAATTCAGTTCAGTCACTTAGTCATGTCTGACTCTTTGCAACCCCATGGCTTCCCTGTCCTTCACTATCTCCTGGAGTTTTCTCAAACTCATGTCCCTTGAGTTGATAATGTCATCCAACCATCTCATCCTCTGTCGCTCCCTTCTCCTCCTTGCTCGCAATCTTTCCCAGCATCAGGATCTTTACCAACGAGTCAGCTCTTCACATCAGGTGGCCAAAGCATTGGAGCTTCAACCTCAGCAGCAGTCCTTCCAATGAGTATTCAGGGTTGATTTCCTTTAGCATTGGCTGGTTGGATCTCCTTGCTGTCCAAGAGACTCTCAAGAGTTTTCTTTAGAACCACAGTTTGAAAGCATCATTTCTTTGGCGCTCAGCCTACTTTATCGTCCAGCTGTCACATATGTACATGACTACTGGAAAAACCATAGCATTGACTATATGGACGTATTGGGCAAAATGATGTCTCTGCTTTTTAATAAACTGTCTAGATTTGTCATAGCTTTTCTTCCAAGGAGTAAGCCTCATCTATGAAGTGAGGGCAAAATAGTACTCTTTGATATGATGTATGTGTGTGTGTGTGTTAGTAGATCAGTCATGTCCAACTCTTTGCAACCTCATGGACTGTATAGACAGGCTCCTCTGTCTATGGGATTCTCCAGGCAAGAATACTAGAGTGGGTTGCCAACTCCTTCTCCAGGGGATCTTCTTGACCCACGATTGAACCTGAATCTCCCACATTGAGGCAGATTTTTTACCACCGTTTGCGCCACCAGGGAAGCTCTGATATGATAGTTATGAGGATATTAAAACATTTGTCCATATGTATTACTTAATAAATGCAAGACATTATTAGAAATAGCTTTCCTGCTGTTGATGGATACACTTTGTCATTTTTCTATCTCTCCCAAGAGAAATTAAGATTCCAGGCTGACAACTGATACACATACGCCCGACACTGATTCATGCATTCAACAATTTGTCTTTGTGGAGTGCCTATCAGGCACCCAGTCTGGTAGAACTCATAGTCTAATGGGGAACACAGACACACAGGTAATTAAGAGTTCATGTTGGGAGGAGAATAAATAAGGCATAACGAGAAACAGAAATGGTTTATTTCACAGAGGAATTGGGGCTGTCGAGGTAGATAATTTTTTAAGAATCTGAGATAAGGTGAGCTCAGCTATAAATAAGAGACACTCAGGTAAACTGTTCTGGGAATATCCTCATGGTTATATTTTCTGCCCAATTAGCAAATATTTTTGAGAACTTTCTTTTTGCTAAGAACTGCAGATATGTGCATTTCTGCTCTAACATTAAATACACTTTACTAAAAAAACATTGCATCCTGTATTATGGGGAAAAAAAATAGGAGTGGGGGAAATTCAATCAAAACTTAAGAAACTTTGGAATAGAACTTTAACACACATACTGATAATCTTAATAAAAGTTATTAGTGGAAGTAAATCTCCAGCATCACTTGAACTTACCCTCTCTCACGAGCCCTGTACCTTGGAGTTTGTTCTCCTACCCCACATCCTCTTCAGAGATGTAGGGCCTGAAAACATTTAACAGAGGCCAGTTTAATCAAAATTAAAACTACAGTTTGGGCCCTGGGCTGGCATGGTGCCCAGGGCTACCCAAGGGAGGTGGGAGCCAGAGCAGGAGCGGAGGTGGGCTCGAGACCTGCTCTCAATCCGCACCCATGCATCCCTGCACCGCCTTGCGCATCCCCACCCTCAGCCTGCAGGAGGCACCATGTGCTGAGGCCCTGGGCTTTGGGGACCAGTCCCTGACCTAACCACTGAGGTCTTTTCATGGCGCTGGGCACGAGCATGATGGTGGTCAGTCCCCTGCCGCTCTACGTGAAGCTGCTCATCAGATGGGTGGTGAGCCCCCACCACTGGGATCAGTGTGCTGGGGAGGAAGGTCCTCTACCCTCCAAACTTCTTCACCTGTGCCAAGGACACTGCAAGTGGATGGGAAGACCGGCTCTTCCAAGGCCTGAGCCTTTTGCTGACATCTACCAGCCTCTCACTGACCTGGGCAGCGTGAAAGCTCTTCCTCCAGATGCGATGGAGAAGGTGTCCAAGAAGGACGACACACGGACTTCCCTGAAGAGGGCAGAGAAGGAGACCGCCTAGACGATGCTGATACAGCCCATGTCCTGTATGTCGTCCGACCCACCCCATGGGTTGTCATCTCAACAGCTGCTTGGTCCATTTTATGGGGCCAGAGGCCAAGCACAGCAGAGAGTTGAGCTCCGTTGGCAAGATTTGCTGAGATTCTTTGTCAGCTGAGTCCCTCACCTCCCGGGAGACGCGGCTTTCCTGCGAGACTATAACCTGCTGGCCCCTCCCTCAGCGCGCACCTGGTGGATGATAGCTCCAGTCGGACTGACCGCCGGGAGCCCACCCAAGTTTGTGACGGGGATGCCAGTGAGCATGCTGACTTCTCTCTTCCTGCTGGTGGGTGGATCCCATGGCTGTGAACAACTGTGGGCTATAGGCGGGGCCTCCCCTCTCACTCCACAGGGTTCAAGTCTGGATCCACCGCTGGAAGGACCTGAGGGGGTGGGGCCAACTTTTTTGCAGCACCCTCCCCCCCCCCACCCCACACCTTTCTACCACCAAGTGTCATCAGAATCCTGCTTTGCCCAGAATAACGTGAACCACCTGAAAAAACACTGCGGCCCCTAAACAACAGGACCTACAGTAAACCACAGGGAACTAATTCAATATCTTGTAATAAACTATGATGGAAAACAGCCTGAAAAAGATACATACATAGATATAATCCAACCACGTTGCTATACACTTGAAACATAACATTGTAAATTGACTCTATTTCAAGTTTTTGTTTTTGTGTTTTTTTTTTAAATACACATACAGACAAACCCACACTGTCTCAGCCTGGGCACCACGGATGAGGTCTGATCATCTCTGAGCACCTTTAAGACCTCCAGCCCAGTTGGTCTCCAGGTTCCATATTTGCCCTGTGCCTGCACAAAACCAGGGGCTGGGTGGGGGCTAACCTGGGCTCAAGTGGCTTGGCCGCCGTTAGACCTGGGGCAGTGGGTAGGGCTGGGGAACTGCAGCAGAATCCCCGTCAGTTCAGTTTGGTTGCTCAGTCTTGTCCAACTCTTTGTGACCACAGGGACTGCAGCACAACAGGCTTCCCTGTCCGTCACCAACTCCCAGGGCTTGCTCAAATTCATGTTCTTTGACATGATGATGTCATGGTGATATCATCCTATCATCTCATCCTCTGTCATCCCCTTCTCCTCCTGCCTTCAATCTTTCCCAGCATCTGGGTCTTTTTCAATGAGTCAGTTCTTTGCATCAGGAGGCCAAAGTAGTGGAATTTCAACTTCAGCATCAGTCCTTCCAATGAATATTCAGGGTCAATTTCCTCTAGGATGGACTGGTTGGATCTCCTTGCAGTCCAAGGGACTCTCAAGAGTCTTCTTCAACACCACAGTTCAAAAGCATCAATTCTGCAGCACTCAGCTTTCTTTACAGTCCAACTCTCACATGCATACATGACTACTAGAAAACTCAGAGCTTTGACTATACAGACCTTTGTTGGTAAAGTCAAGTCTCATGTGCTATCTAGGTTGATCATAGCTTTTCTTCCAAGGAGCAAGTGTCTTTTAATTTCATGACTGCAGTCACCATCTGCAGTGATTTTGGAGCCCAAGAAAATAAAGTCTCTCACTGTTTCCATTGTTTCCCCATTTATTTGCCATGGGACCGGATGCCATGATCTTTGTTTTTTGAATGCTGAGTTTTAAGCCAGCTTTTTCACTCTCCTCTTTCATCCTCATCAAGAGGCTCTTTAGTTCCTCTTTGCTTTCTGCCACAAGGGTGGTGTTCACCAGCATATCTAAGGTTATTGATTTTTCTCCCTGCAAACTTGATTCCAGCTTGTGCTTCAACCAGCCCAGCATTTTGCATGATGTACTCTGCATATAAGTTAAATAAACAAGGTGACAATATACAGCCTTGACATACTCCTTTCCCAACTTGGAACTAGTCTGTTGTTCCTTTTCCAGTTCTAACTGTTGCTTCTTGACCTGCATATAGATTTCTTAGGAGGCAGGTAAGGTGGTCTAGTATTCCCATCTCTCTCAGAACTTTACATAGTTTGTTGTAATCCACACAGTCAAAGGCTTTAGCATAGTCAGTAAAGCAGATTTTTTTTCTGGAATTCTCTTGCTTTTTCTATGATCCAACAAATTTTGGCAATTTGATCTCTGGTTCTTCTGCCTTTTCTAAATCCAGCTTGAACATCTGGCATTTCTCTGCTCACATACTGTTGAAGCCTAGCCTGGAGAATTTTGAGTGTTACTTTGCTAGCATGTGAGATGAGTGTAACTGTGCAGTACTTTGAGCATTCTTTGGCATTGCCTTTCTTTGGGATTGGAATGAAAACTGACCTTTTCCAGTCCTGTGGCCACTGCTGAGTTTTCCACTTATCTGATGGTAAAAAATCTGCCTGCAATGCTTCGATCCCTGGTTTGGAAGACCCCCTGAAGGCAATGGCTACCCATTCCAGTATTCTTGCTTGGAGAATTCCCTGAATTGAGAAGCCCAGCAGTCTACAGTCCATGGAGTCACAAAGAGTCAGACACAACTGAGTGACTAACACTTTTACTTTCCCCTTATTTGAAGATTTACCGAGTCTGCCTTGTGCGGGGGCAGGTCTAGTCAGGCAAAAACTCTTGGGATCAGGTGCCACAATCCCGTTCAAACCCCTCCAGCCAGCCCTGGCTCTCATCCTACAGCTTGGCTGGGAATGTTGCTCTCCTGCTTTGTAAATAGTGCATGACTCCCTTTCAAGAGCCACCATCATGTCTGGACTTATGCTGAAGTTCTGGTAGGTTCTGCCTTCATTTTTCTCAACACTACTTTTCTGATAAGAAAAATGTAGCACTTTCTGAATGAGACATCATGTGAATGCTCAGAACGTGTCCTCCATTCATTGCTTTAATGATGACACTTCATGGACTTGGTCTCCCATGTAGCTGTGAACACCCAGATATTAGGTCCTACTGGTCCTACCCAGTTTAAAATTTCCTAATAAGATTTTGATCTTTTCTCCCTCAAATAACTGTAGTGGTGGTGATTTGAGGGGAAAAAATCCTTACACTCTGAAGGGGATCAGAACATGCCAGCCCCAAATTGCCACCCTGCCATGTGGATTATTTTGAGCTGCAAGTACTTGACAAACAGCAGATGTGGGAAGGACTCTCTGATCACCCTCATTCTACCTAAAAATAGGGCATAGGATTTCCTGTGAGAAAAGTGCTCCCATGTGCTAAGAAAAAGAGAACATTCTTCTGTCCAGACATGAAATGCAGATGCCACAATGAATCTGTGCAAACATATCTACTAAAATAACCTTTGCCTCTCATTAGTTGACCCCATATATTTCCTAACTTTCCCAAAATTTAGCATCCCCAGCCCAGCCCCTTCATCATGTATGATCTCCACAGTGAACTGTTCTTTGTTAGAACAGTTAGGCATGGAAGTTCTCAGCTCTATCCCATTCCTATACCATTTTTCTTCTCTATGAAGGTGTTCAGGCTACATAAAATATTAACATCAAGTGAAATGTGCATGCATTTCTCCTGTTGATCTGTCTTTGTAGGTTTAATTTGCAGACCTCTGCACACAACCTATGAGGATAGATGAAAAGTCTTAATCTTCACTAAAAACCTAATAATACTGGAAATTCCACACTCACAAATTTTTGTAAAACATGGGGAAGTATCTTTGCAACATCTTTATCTATACTTGAAATCTCTCCTAATAACTGTTTTGCTCATTTGGAAATTTATTTGAATAAAGATAGAGAGATTGCTTTGTTCTCAAGCAATAGATAGATTCTTCGCTTGATTTTTGAAATTTACTTTTAATTAGAGGTTAATTGCTTTACAATATTGTGTTGGCTTCTGCCATACAACAACATAAATCAACCACAATTTCACATATGTCTCCTCCTTCCAGAAGCTCCCCCCAACTCTCCACCCCATCCCACCCCTCTAGGTTGTCACAGAGCATCCGGCTGAGCGCCCTCTGCTCAATCAGCAGCTTCCCACTGGCTATGCATTTTACACATGGTAGTGTATATATGTCAATGCTATACTCTCAATTCGTTCCACCCTTTCCCTCCCCCACTGGGTCCAAAGTCTGTTCTCTATGTCTGCATCTCTATTCCTGCCCTACAAATAGGTTCATCAGTACCATTATTCTATATTCTGAATATATATGTTTTTAATATATGAAATTTTTTTTTCTGTTTCTGACTTACTTCACTCTGTGTAACAGGTTCTGGGTTCATCTACCTCACTAGAACTGACTCATATGCATTCATTTTTATGGCTGAGTAATATTCCATTGTCAATATGTGTCACGACTTCTCACAGGCAAAAACACTCTTTGATATAAGTCACAGAAATACCTTTTTTGACCCACCTCCTAGAGTCATGGAAATTAAAACAAAAATAAACAAGTGGGACCTAATTAAACTAAAAGCTTTTGCACAGCAAAGGAAACTATAAAAAAGATGAAAACACAACCCTCAGAATGGGAGAAAATAATTGCAAATGAGAAAGGAACACATTTGACTACTCTGGTGAGGTGGATGAAACTAGAATCTATTATACAGAGTGAAGTAAGGCAGAAAGAGAAAAAAATATCATGCATTAACGTATGTATGTACGGAATCTAGAAAGATAATACTGATGAGCCTATTTTCAGGGCAGCAAAGGAGATACAAACATAACAGACTTCTGGTCACAGTAGGGGAAGGAGAGCGGAAGAACAGCACTGAAACATATACATTACCATATGTAAAGCAGACAGCCTGCAGGAATTTGCTGTATCATGCAGGGAGCCCAAATCCAGTGCTCTGTGACAATGCAGTGGGGTAGGAAGGGGTGGGAGGTGGGAGGGAGGCCCCAGAGGGAGGGGACATATGTATACCTATGGTTGATTCATGTTGATATATAGTAGAAACCAACACAATATTGGAAAGTAATTATCCTCCAAACAAAAATAAAATTAAATTTAGAGGACAATAATTGCAAATGAAACAACTGACAAAGGATTAATCTCCAAAATATACAAGCAGCTTATGC